ATTGCTAGAAATCATCTATCTTTTGAAGACAGGTGCAACATCTGCCTTAAGTTATCAGGTGATCTTTGATAACCAGGACCTTTCAAAGATGGTAGTATGATATCACCGTGACATCACCCAGAACACTTGGGTGCTTCCCTCCTGATCTCACGCACTTGTATGGGCTGAGATTTCTCAAGAGATCCATGATTCAGTCTTCTTCCACTACTGGTAATCTGACAACACAGAGCCTTGGAAGACTTCAGTGGTGAAAACCGAGGCAAAGAAAGCATGGAGCACACTTAGGTATTGAGCTATCCGAAAAATCTCAGCCTTGCATGTAAAGTCTCATGCAACACACTTAAAACATTTCCACAAGAGTCAGTGACTGTTACATGTGCCTACAAACTGGTGACATCTCAGGTTGCAGAAGTGTTTCCTGCTTCCATTGCATTGAGCTCATCACATAGCAGGGCAGATGACAGAAACAAGGGTGTGGATCCGAGACCTGTGATTATTAGCTGAGAGTGCAGGTGCAGAGCAACACATTTCTGGGGCTCGAAACCAAGGAGAAAAGAAGGCAGGAACTGAGGATGAGAAGGCCACTCATATCTGTGGTGCAGCTGAAGCAACAGGTGTAGTCATTGGTAGAGAATCTGCCTGAAAACCAAGTCTCAATTTTTTTTTTTTTTTTTTCCCTCTTGTCACCATAGCTATGAAACCCAGATGGCTTACGGGGATGGCACTTTCCACAAACACATGCACAATGGGACAGGTCCAAAAGCCTTAGCTGGGACCAATAAAGTTCCCTTTCTGTTGTTTTTACCCAAACTGACACCAAAATGTGAAGATATTTCAGAAAAAGGTTGTTATGTTGGTAGATCATTATGGCTGCCCAACTGAGGCTGCAAACAGTTGGAAAGGCTATAACCTGATCAGCCTTAACCCTCTCTCCTTACTCTTTATTCCATGACTCTGATTGGGGGAATTAGTTTATTTTTTCTTCCTGCAGGACTCATTATATTGAGTTTTGTATTGAGTTTATAATTTGTATATTTGTATATTTATATTTGAGCTACATTTATATTGAGTTTGTAGCCAAAAAACACATGAAGTGCTGTCTACATTTGTGAGAGGACAGCAAAAAAATTACAGGTGGTCTTTACAACATGCAAGAAAATTAGCCCTATGAGAACAGTTGCTTGGCATATTCCTTTCATGACTCTCCTGTTAGACAGTCAATGTTTTCTTAACTAGGGAATAAATGACATTGTAGGGCAGAAAGGAGTGGAAGAAAACTGGAGGAGCCGAAAGCATGGAAGGAACTGAGACTGGATTCTGGAATATTAAACCAATAGTGGAGTAGAACAGTTAGAAGGAGGTGCAGATGGCACAGGACAGAAAATAAATATAGACATCTTCTGAATTTTACAGCCCCCAAATGTTGGAGACCATCGCATTTTTGGTCCATCCCATAAGTGGGGCAGAAGTTACTGGGTTTGATCTCATCCCAGGCTCTTTTTTGCTTTCAGAAAGGAGCTTGAAAGCCCTGGAAAAGGCTGTAGACTGCAAGTTTCTTACAGGTCATTGCCATTCTCAGTGCAGAACGGCAAAATAATGAATTTGCAAATAGCTTTATAATGTCTTGGAGTCTAAGGTATCCAAGGAAATGATCTATCAAAGAAATAAAATTGTTGCACATGTTCCACAGAGAAAAATGTTTCCCCTGGACAAACACATCTGTTGTTTTAAAACTCCAATGTCCCCTATAATTGGCACCCAATTAACAGCAATGCAACAGCAAAGAAACCATCTCTAGGAAAATACTTTCTCCTGGTCAATACAGTTACATAAGTGAGTTTGTTAGATATTGATAAAGGATAAAGGTTAAGTCCAGGCTACGGGTTCTGGAAGAACACGAAGCATCTGTGTTAGAAGCACTAACAAACTCTAAGACACGGTCCATGACCCACCTCCCAAAGCTTAGGTCTTACTGTGGCCCAACTTCCAAAGAATGCCAGGATGCAGTGAGGCTGGGTGGGGGGTGGTGGTTAAGCCTGGTGTCCCTCAGTACAGGACAGTCTGTGCTATCAGCTAGAATTGAGTGAGTCAAACTTAAAATAATCACAGAAGCTATTCAAACAAGCAGTCCCACCCCAAAGCAGTTTATCATTTCCCAAAAGCAACAGCTTCTCTTCTGGTAGGATGCTTCACTGCTTCTTTATCACTCAGCTACCTGCTTTCTGTCCTTAGTATGCTACAGAGTGCTAGAAGCAAAGAGAGCTTCCCTACTCCCCCACATTTGATCATCCCTAATTACCTTTCCCAACCCATTAAACAAAATCCTTTCTTTAGAAACCTGGGGGGTTTTCTGGTATCAGAATTGCTTTTCTACTTCTGTTTCTTTCTCTGTTTCTATTTCAGAAACACACAAAATGTTCTTACATCATTAAGATGCAAAACACACTGTTCCTGAGCCAGTGTTTTCAAAAGCAGTGTTTCCAAAGCCAGCATTTCTTGAAGCCAGTGCTTCCTGTGGGCTCCCTGGGAAAAAAAGGGTTGATGGAGCTGAATTCTGCAAAGCCTGATGTTCCAGTCAGTCAGTTGTGTGCAACTATTGCTACATATTCCTGGCTTAGAAGCCTTCACTGTGCCACTCTCACTGCAGCCTCTGCACCGGGTGCCTCTTGCAAACCATGTTTCCCTCCTCCCCTCCTTGCAAAGCAACACAGCTGTAACTGACCCCAAGAGTTTCAGAACTCCCACAAGTCTCAAGTTTTAGAACCAGCATCATCAGTCACATCCCCTGAATATCCTAGCACTATATTTCTCCTATATAGAGTTCAATGGTCAATTAATTTACTGAATCGCTGTAAAGCACATGGGGAGGGGTGTGTGTGTTGGAGTGTTAGGGGAAATTGGGGCATGGTGGATAAAGCGCACAAGAGGCAGGAGGGAGGAAAATGACTGCAGTTACAAGAAACCTGAGTCTGGGTGTTGAACAGGCTTCCTTGTGCATCCAGCTGCCGTATTCCTTGCTCCTCAGATCCCAGCTGTAAAGTGGGAATCACATCTCAGTGAGGAGTTGCAAATACAAACGCACTGGAAGACCGTGTGGAGTTGCACACCTCCAGCAGCAAGGCATGTAAACAGAGCAGGGAGGAAGGAACAGTATCTGTTCCTGTAAAATAGCATATAAGCACTGAACAGGGTGAGGCAGCTGGGGCGGGGAAACAGACCAGACAGGAATCTCATTCCTGGTTCCTGCAGGACTCTTGTCTGTTATTGTTTCCTACTTTCCCAAAGTGTGTTTGAAGCGAGAAAGAGGAAATGGTACATAACTTGGAACACAGTGCTAGACCCAGACTTACCAAATCTGCCTTTGACAAGCCTCCTGAACTTTCTAAGGCTTCACTTCCTCACCACTTCCTCAGCCGGGGATGGTATTTACCAATGGCTCAGTGCTACTTTCACACATCCCACAGCAGGGTAAAACACCTTCTCCTCCAACCACACAGTCCTTGTAAGACTTGACTAATCTAGCAGGTATATCTACTAATTCCTTCTTTGCCACTGCTTTCAGGTCAATATTAATTTCCTTTTTGCTCAACCTCTGTTATATTATTCTTTACTTCTCTAGCTGTTTGCTTTACTTCTCTCTCTTATTAAGGAGGAAATCCTAATTAATCCCCTCCTGGGAGTCTACTGCTTTCAAAATCAGTCATTTGCAGCAGGTTACCAGTAAGTAAGTAGCAAAGCTTAGTCCTTGAAATTTATCACTTATATGGAAAGCAAAGATTCAGAACATCATTGCAGCAAATAACTAATGTGTAAAGCAACAGGGAGGTATATGTGATATGTAAAAATATGCTGGATTAGGTTTCTGGAAGCAAATCCAAGAAAGGCCTTTTTCAATCATTGCACAAGCTTTCTTTGCTTTCCTCATCCAGCACAAGCAACGATTGGGAAACACTCATACCAAGGGAGACACCTAAAGCCAGACAATCATTAAGCATGACACTGGGCGTGCCTTCATTAGAGTGCTGAGGCGTGTGAGAGCCCCATTTAGAGAAAGATAGAAGATAGCAGTTTATTTGTAAAACAGCGGAGCCCTCGCCTCGCTCTACACAATGCTTGCCTAGAGCTTCCAGCTGGGATGGTCAGGTGAGCACTCAGGCTCCAAAAGCAGCCTCCTCCATCCCCCTCTCACCATCAAACCATGCTGCGAAGCCAGCCCTTTTCTAGTCACTACAAGGCTTTCTACTAATGATCACATCGAGATCCAGAACTAGGACACTGCATGACAGACTGCGAGCTCCCAGTCAGAACAGGCATTGCAGAAAGACAACCTCTAAGATTTGGGCTCGACAAAGTTGGTTTTGTGGTTCATTCTTTAGGATGCTACATGCCAGCTGTTCTACAAAACGTTCACGTAAAGTGAGAAGTGCTGCTTCAAAGCTTCAGAAAACAGTAAGCAAACTGCCTTGGATTTTAAGCAGTACAAGGCTGGAGAACAGGCATAAGGAGAGCGCAGGCATGAGCTAAACCGACCTTGCAGTAATGTAAACATCAAGAAAAGGCAGCTTCCCCCGCCTACATTTCGTTATTCTTGTTATACATGTACAGCAACAAATCACACTTCAATCCACACACACTTTAGTTGACAAAACAGCTTTCCACTAGTGATTAATACATTGCAAAGTCAACTCCACCACCGGTTAAGCTTTAGAAGGAAGCTACTACATTTCAGCGTGCAGGTGTTTGTTGTGTTTGATAGGAACTAGAGGCTAAGTTAGTCCATGGGACCAACAGTATTTGCATGAGCACTTGCAATTCTCTGCAGTTTAAGAGGATAGACAAAAGCAGTGTTAGGTCCCACGATTACAAACTTACACAAGCTTAATCCATACATCCTGTTCAATGGAGACTAAGACCGCTGTAAAACTAGCTTAATAAGTAATGTTGCAACTACCTATTTGTTTTCAATGTTGAGGCAATTAGCACAAACAGTCAAACCTTACCTTCATTCCTTTAGTAATTCCATTTTTCTTATAGATTCCACTTTTTAAGAGGTTATTCTGTTTCTGATGGTGATGATGTAGGTGTCCATTGCAGACAGCACTGGGATTAGCCATCTGTTTAAATTAGTCAGATTCTCAGTTCTTAAGGGTGTCTCAGGTCTTTCTACTGTAAAAAAGACAGTGGGATGAGAAGATAAAGTTCTTGGTTAAGGCCTGAAAGGTATCCAACTGGTCCGTCAGGATTTTCCAGGATGAGAGCAGGAACTATCTTTTGCAATATCTTCGAAACGTAAAACTTTCTTTCATACACCTTCAGCCCCAGCGAGCTAGAACGCCAAATACATAGCAGAGGTGTGCTCTTAAAATCTCTGAAAAATACTGCTCATTGCTGGCTATTGCATGAACACGGCTCCGGTGAGTCAACAAGGCTGCTGCAGCTATCAAGAAGTGGGTGGATTCAGAGGCGGAGACACTTAAAGATACATCACCTCTTAAATACCTCCCCGTGGAGAAACATTTATGTTCCTCTTCTCCAAATTACAGTCAGCGAAGAGTTATTTGATTCCATTTAAACTAACAAAATTTTCTGAAACTTTAAACAGAGTAAAAATTTTAAAGTTACGTGGTTCGTCCTGCTGCGAGTATATTAGATGCAAAAAGTAGTATTGCGCTGAGTAGAATAGACTTTTTTTCCCCCTTTTTAAAAAAAAAAATCTTCTTGTAGAGGTGACACGATAGGTTATTACCTTAATAATGACATTATTAACTATGCAAGGAAATGGAAAACACTTTGGTATTAAGATGAAAATTTCTCTAGAGCTAGAAACATTATATTTGGCTCTATCCTACAGACACGTGCACAGGCATTCACTTGAGTGAACTGTCCCTTTAAACTCAGTTTGGCCAATAGCCAGATAAATGGCATGCTATTATAATTAATGAGAAGTGAAGTTTTTATAAATTTGATTAATTCAGTTTTAAAACAAGCCAGCCTTTAATCACATGTGAAACTACTAAGGGGGACTAACATACATCTTTTAAGACAGATGTTTACTTATTGTGGAAATACATATATTGTCTTTGCTGAACTAAATTCTCATGTTTAAGATTTTAGTGATGAAACATAGAGGTATCTGGTGGTATTTAATAGACTCCCTTCCTTCCAAAATAATTAAAATTAGTGTGGAGAAAGATTAAAGGAAAGCTGTATAATAATATCAATTTTGAAAAACAGGATGAAAGGCTGGGAAAACAGAAATATTGAAGTACTTTAATTATAAAAAATTACTGTGCCATCTTGGCAATGAAATATAAGTGATATGTAGAAAAAACAGCCTACAACTTGAGTATGTGCAATACAGGTGACTAAATATTAAATGAAGCACTGTTAAAGTACACAGGGAAACACTGTCTTGGTTTTGTAAACTTGTCTTAGACAGGTATTAAATTGTTAAAATGTATTTTCTTCTTCAAAGTGATTTGCAAAGTGAGAGTTTTCAGTGTGCTGGAAAACCTTTGCTCCCTGCTTGAGAGAGATCCAAACTGATCTGTGTTTAAAAGAAATATCTGTATATGTTTCCTTCTCCATCTCACCTCATTTCATACCATCCAGAGATTTCCAGTACAGAACTGTAGAAACCCTCCAGGATACACTAGAGAGTAGCACAATTTAAAAAGCTAAAAAGTCAATCTATAACTAGACTTGATTGTTTTATCATTGGAAAGAACTTTTATTTATGTATTTCAGTTAATAAGACTGGAAGTAGTAGTTTGGGTCAAGAAAATATTCCCTTAACAGACTAAAATGACACAGAAACAGTAAAACACCAAAAATGTTCTGCTTCACAATTACACCAGATTCACCACCAGAATTCAGATTTCCTAGGTTTTGTCTTTTTGGTGCTTTTCCTAGGCAAAAATGCCTCATTTCCGTGTGAATCAGTCTTGTTTAGGCTTCATTAAGACATCTGTAAGGATAACTCAATTTCAAATGAATTGTGAATATGTAGTGACAAAATAAATTGTTGGTCTTAAAGGGCTAAGAGTTGATATCTGCAAGGAAAAGATGAGACTGAGATGAAGATAAGCCAGAATGAGGCAGGAAAAATGGTTAGTAATACTTCCCTGTATACCAATAACCTGTGGCACGCTGGTAAATGGAACAAGGTAATATAAGGCATTCGCTCTGCCCCTGGAAACCCCTTCCCACCAAGCCTTCTCATTTGGAAATTATATCCCTGCTTGCCACAGCACATCAAACATCTGCAAAACATGCCCTCTGCTCAGTCAGTTACTTCACCCTGTTGTGACAAAGGTAAGACCAGAACACTTACCAGAGGAGCAGCACTGTTCCCCTGGCCCAGCTGGAACCTCTGCCAGATGTGCTTCCCAACAGGCTCCGCACGTTCCAGGGCACAAGGCGATATAATTAACATCTCATATGCCTCTTGTGTGGTTTTTTTTTTTTTCCAATTAGGTCCATGAGGGAGGTGGAATCTCCAATTAGATAACAGCTTAGATAATGCAAATTCTGTTGCTAGTACCAGGCTCTAGGTCTGCACTTGTTATCTGTTTCAAGGCCCATGAAACGCCAGTGACTTTACATGAGTAAAATAGCGAATTAAATATGTTATATTAATTTTAGTTTTCAGTGTCTAGAACATTTTTAAATCACAAACAAATAGCACTTAAAAAAAAAAAGATACCACATTTAATTATGAGTTTGAATGAGCAATTAAAAAAAGCTCAGAGAAGAGCTGTCCTTTGGGTATCTGTTAACCATGCTCTAAAAGCCAGTGCTCACAAAACAAATACCACTAGAGGCTGAGTAAAATTCTTGTTCTGATTCCATTCAGAGCACAAGATTTATAGAAGGGACAATTCTGGTCAAATAAACAGAAAGGATCTGTAAACAGAATGTGGCATTTCTCCTGAAAAAAAAAAAAAATTTGAATTCTGCCCTTCAGAACTCCATCTTACTCAAAGCCATGTATTACTCAGGTTTCTATATCTATCATGCTACTGCTTACCTGCACTTAAATCTATCCCTCAAAAATACGCAAGTCTATGCTGCTTGGACACTAGAGGAAGGACTTGATAACTGCGTGCTTTGCAACACCAAAACCACCACTAGCAATACCCTGTTTATTTTTACCATTCTGGGAAGTGGAAGGAAAAAAATTTATTATGCTGACTGTACAAGAACTATGTGTATTTAAGTGCAGGGGACACCAATCCTACTAAGATTATATGTGCCCTTCTCTTTAGTGGCTTGGGCACTGGTCAGCCTTCCTACATTGGCAAGAAGATGATGAATTTCTAAGGGTAGTAGCAGACCACACACCATGCTCTACAAAGATGCTAGTAAAGTTTGCAAGACGTGACTACAGTTACTATAAATCTGTAGGAAAGCCACCAATGAATTCCCAGGTTCTAGGTTTTATTCCTTGCTTTGTCATTATCCTGTTAATGCTATTGGCTTTTCACCACCTCACCTCTTGAAAACAGGATAAAAGGGTTTAAATCCTTTGTAAATGCTCTGAGACAAATTGCTGAGGAGCGTGGTGCAAAAGTGAAGAAAAATAGATGCAGTTAATTAACCAAGGTTTAACAACGGAGCAGAGGAAAAGGGAGGGGTAGGGCTCTGTCTAAGCAGTCTCCCAGTGTTTGAAGAAAATCACTTTTCTGCCAGGCGCTCCCATTGTTACATAGGACAGGATAAAAGGCTGAACTCTGCTGATGCACTCACGAAGTGGGGACAAAAATATCTAATCTTCCATTAGACTTCTGGCCCAGTCAGACATCTAGTGTTGTTGGAGTGGCCACAATGCCCCCATTTTTAATAGCAATACTGGATCCACCACATCCTCATTTATAATGGCAGTATTGGATTACCTACCAATAAAACAAGTAAATGTTGCAAGAAAGCAAGAGAGCTCTTCCCCAGAAAGCTGTCATGTCATAAGCCAGAAGGATTTTGCAGGATTCCTACTCATCTCAGGCTACAGTTAGTTATGGCACAGTTGTGAAATGGTCTTGCAATCTCATTGCAAGATCATGATAATTTCAGTTCATGACAGATGCACATTTAAATGCCACATGTAACAATAAGGATTTATACAAAGACATCAGGTAGCTTTATGCTTGTTTTCAGTGGACAGACACCAAAGTCAAACAGGAGCTGAAAAAACTGGGAGCCCGAGTCTTTTCCTTTGTTAAAAGTCAATATTCTAATGATGTTTAAATTGGCAGCAGAGCATGCTCCAGTAGTGGAGTACACAGGAAAAAATCCTTCTGGTTCTCCCAATTGCTTCTCTCACAACAGAAATCCACTTCATAAATTCTGTATACCACAGAAGACTTATTTTTATATTTAATATATGTGGACCCATGGATGTCAGAGGCAACTCCTGCCTTGGATAAATAAATGACTTCAACATAACAACACCAATGAGCCTGAAATAAATTAACTAATAGGGAGACACCATAACAACAAAGCAACATAAGCAACAGCAAGTACCAGCCATCAGCTGGTCAGTCATCCCCACGGGTCTCTTTTGAGACTCATCCACATTTCACCAGGACTGGCTAGAGGCTAAATTTCCTAAATTTTCACGTGGAATACCCACTGATCCATGTTTGCTTCTTTAAACCCTCTCTAGCCAATACATACGTGGGAATAAGTAGGGATATGCCACTATCCCTGTGAAACTGCACCCCAGTGCCGAAAGATCCCCTCAGGTGCCCTTGCACAACTTGAAGCATCTACAAAACGCTTGGATACTGGTCAGGGAATAATCTAGAGCGCCTCAGAACCATGGCACAGGTGGATGCACGCAACCAGCGTTGCAACAGGGAGGGCATGGTACGACAGGCAGGGCTCCTCCAAGTCTGGCAGGTCCATCACCTGCAGAGCCCTGGGGCTGGCCTGGTTGCCTCCTGCCACCTCTGCACCTTCATGTTCTTTCACCATGTGCAGTAAGATGACAGGACAATGGTTGAAAGCCAGAAGCATATAAAGATACCGTCACCCTGGTTTCTTAAGCAATGTTACCAGAACCAGTTCTCTCAGTGTATCCAGATGTCAGTAAGCTGTGAGTGCTCATAACATTAGGGATTTGTTGGCATTTTTTATCTGATATACGTCTCTGATTGGTATGTGATACACATATCTGATTAGGAATGTGTACTTAACCCCAGAACGTTCGTAGCACCTGGCACTTGGATTTCCTTGCAAGGATTAAGACTCTATAAATTGCCAAACTGATACAGTTCTGTCTTCATCTTATGATAAAAAAATAAAATACATCTGGCTAGAATGCAACAGTAATATGAAAAATGGCACCAAGACCAAAAGAGTGACACTAAGCCTGCTGCAAAAATCCAACAGTAAGCACAAGTAAAAGCCTTTTGCTTTCACTTCTTCCAATTACAAGGATCATGCCATTACTACATCCTTATCTGGAAATTTATTACTGAGTTGAATCTGCAGTTCTTACTCCTTAAATAAAAAACTTGGGTAGTAGACCCAGTGAAGTCAGTAGAACTACTCAGCCAAGCCAAAGGCTAAAAAAAAACTTTACAAGCACCAGGTAGAAGCAAAAATCTCTTTCTTGGGACATTTCTCTCCTGACCTCTTTCAGCAGCGATGTGACCTCTATAGCTGTCCAAGGCAGATTGCAGTCTACTTTTCTGAGACCTCCTGCCAGTCAGGCTAATTTGTTTGCTGAGCTCCATAATTCACAACGAGCCAGTGTAGTATTGTCACTGTTTCCAATTGCTAGCGTGATTAATGGAGCAAAGACAGCTCTGTGCCATCTGGTCCTTCTCTGTGTCATCACCACATGGATTCAGACAAGTGGTTCTTCGCTACAAACATCTGGAACATTAAGACAACTGATATTTAAACAGGTAGACAAATCACCTTAGTATTACTAATAAAACTGAACAAAACAAACATGGCTTAATGATGAAATTTCAGGCTCTGAGCAGGAAATTATGAAGTAATTCCACACAAAACTTAGAAGTTATTGCTTATTGTTCTTGGAATGTAATTGTCCAGTGCTTTCAGAAGCAGGAGATTTACACAGGCCCAGATGAGAATTAGTAATGCCACTCAGTTGGGAAAATAAAAGAGGCATTGCAAAATACCCCATTTTTCAATCTAACAAGTGGCTCCGTTTTGCAATTCTTACTCATTCAATGAAGCACTTGATTGAATTAGACCCAATGAGGTCAATACTCATCCAAGCAGTAGTTATGCTTCAAAACCTTTTTATTAGCATTACTAAATTTAGTGAAATGATACAGGGGATTATTTGCCATCCCCATTGCCAGTGAAAAAATAATTTCAAGACATGACACAGAATTAGATTATTGTGTTAAATGTCACTCCATACATGGGCTCTCTGTAGTCTCATTTCCTGTTGTCATTGCCTATAGTTTTGTTACTGATCATTTTAGTTCAAGAGAAAAAACCCCACCAAACCAAACCCCCAAAACCTGCTATTTTCACTTGTGCAGAATTTCTTTTGATTATTGTGAGTTTTCCTTCTTCTTGGTAGACTTAGCTGCAGTTCTTTCTCAATTCCATGCCTCACTCAAGTCAGTGGTGATCTGAAGAGGCACCAAGGGTCAGATAGGAGGCTGAAAGGGTGAGTGAGCATTTAAAAATTCATGCTAGAAATTGTTGCCAAATACAGGAAGGGTAACATTACAAAATTATTCCAAGAATTTTTAAAATCCACAGAGTTCTGAGATAGGTGGTTTTGAACTTGGTTTAAGACTTATAGTTAATGACATTATACAATTTTCAAATCAAAATAAAATGTTATTCCTCACTTGGAGTTATTTGTATTTAAGAATTAGTGTACAAGTCTGAAACACTCTAGATTCATTACAGAAGATTTAGGAACACACTCAGTATTCCAAAAACACTGCCATGTTTCAGGAGCCAGGTCTCCAAGAGTTCAGCTCAAAGCTGTTGCATTTAGCATAGAATAAAATAATCTGAAGGTTTCCCAGAGCAACAGGTCCTATTCAACACATTAATTTCAGTCACACGATTTTCATTAAACCCACTCATGTTTATGATTGGATTCTTTCAACTCTCCTGCCAGGACATCAGAAAACTAAAGACTCTTTTCTGTGGTGTTTGTTCATTTTTATATTTCCTGTAACTTCTAATTTTAATATTACACAAGGTAAGTTTGTCAGATCTCAGTAAAGAATTGGAATCAATTGGAATCACTTTTTTCCAGTCTCTACAGTTCTTTTTCTGAAACAAATCCTTATGTCAAACAAAGCTGCATATTTCATATCACTGAAGAAGGGCAGGAAGGTCAGGCCTTAGAGTACTTTTAGGCAGGTCTCATTCCAGTCTCCAGCTATTCATGCCTTAGCCTGGGAGGTGACTATTCCAACCACAGTTTAGCAGCCTACTGCCTGCAGTGGACTTCAAGGCAACCTTTTCTGCACAGGAGACTGTGACCCACGATAGAGGGCTGATTTTTCAACACTGCTAAAATTTCAAGCCGTTAAGTGATCAGCTACAACTTGCTGTGAGTTTAGTGCATGTCCTTCAGTTCCAGCACTTCCACTGTAGCCAATGGACATATGGAACAGTCTTTTTTACCTGGAGTGGCTCTTTCCCTCGCCTCTTATGCCCTGTGCTGGCAAACAGCAGCTGATGTCAGAGATTTACTGCAGCATTAATGTTTCTCTGCAAAAGGTTTCCTTCTCTTCCTTTTATCTGCTAAAAATGGAACAGAGGTGAGTCAAGACTTGTGACTGAGATAGGCAAA